AATAATAATGGTAATTCAAAACAAAATACCTTAGAAAAATATCATTATTAGAATAAAATTACTTACTTTAACAAATAACCACTGCATTTTCTTTTTCGACTTTGAACCCCTAAGTATATGATATCCTTCCATGGTCCTATAATAAAATGATATTATTATTATAGTTTAAAACAAAATGTAATGAAAATCAATAAATCAAAGTAGTTTTTTTAAACAACTTACTTATCTAATAACTGTTTGAAGTCTGCAGGGGGAGGTTTATACATTTAACAAAAGCATAAAGATCTATTCTCCATAGGACAGATAACTATAAGTTGCCAATGAGACATGAGACAGTTGAAAAATGTACACGTTTTGGAAACATGAGACAGTTTAGGTCAGAGTGTATGTGAACACATGCACACACCACACACAAAATGATGCAATTTTAAGCCATCTGGAAAAAAATATAGTACATAAAAAAGACCTCTAAGAAGAAATGTCAGTTGAAAAGAGAAAATTTTACACAGAATTAAAATGAAGTTCAACGTAACACTACCAAGATTGAGGAGCTAAGCGATCAGTTGAAATCAGTTCCTAAGCCAGGTAACTCAATTTCATATCTTCCTTTAAATGTTGCACCAGAAATAAGTCAGTTTGTCATGCAAGTAAGCATTTAAAATTTTAAACTTGAAGTGGGAGGAAGAAGCTAAAGAAATACAAGGATATTCTAGGTGCCACACATCAACATCCAGGTTTCCTATGTAATTTTGTCAGCATGTTCCACACATTTGTTATCATCAAAACTCTTAATCATCAGAGGTGATCTCATCAATCTTAGTCTCCCCCAATCTCAACACCAGACACCTACAACTCCCCAAAGTAACCAACCTACACCTACCCCTCATGTTACTTCCACTTCCCAACCACATTTAGTTCCTCAAACTAACCAGTCTATATTTACCCCTCATGTTTCTTTGACACAATCCCTAAATATGATTGAAACACCACAAACAAATTCCTCCATTGATGGTACTGGTAGTCCAATTGTTGGATCATCATCCTCTATTAATCCATCTTTAGAAATTGGAAGTGTAGACTCTGATGGACATATTTGGATTCTTCCAGGTCCAAAAAACACATAAGTATTAATAATTCTTTTCTTTTAGATCAATATAAACATGTTTTGTGTTATAAGTTATTTTAATTCTTCTATTTTATTTTTATAGATTTGACCCACCAATTCACCCTTCCCGTGAAATTTCAAGAATAATCAAAGGGAAGTTTGAAGGGTCATGGGAATCATATCGAGAGGTTAAAAGCACTAATGAAGGTGTGGCAAACATGTGGTTTGAAGAGTTTTAGGTATAAAGAACTACAAATATTATAATAACCATTTTATATTTTCATTGCATTAAATTGCACATTGTTTAAATAATATTTTATAAATTTTTTATGTAGAGAAAGTTCAAGTGGATGCCTGATCATGATGCACAAATAAGAAGAGCATTTGACCATAAAGCATTTGAAGGGTTTTCAAATGCTATGTATAGGGTGCGACGAGGCATTGATCTAGGGAGTTGGATTCCAAAGCAAAAATGTGTAGAACTTGAACAGAAATGGAATGATGAGAACTGGAAAGAAAAGTCAAGGACTAATACTAATAATAGAAATTCTTCTGATGGTTCACTACATACTGGAGGATCCATTCCTACTTCTGAGCATTTTAAGAGATTGGTAAGTAATATTTACTTATTCTTTTAAGGAGAAAAATTTAAAACTAAACTGGATTACTTTTTGTTCCTTCAGAAAATATCTGCAGATATGACTCCAACATGTTGGGACCTATTCCAAAAGACCCATAAGATAGTGAACGGGAATAGATAGGTGTCCTCCAAGGCAGAAAGGATAGTAGTTAGTTATAATTTTATATGTATTGAATTATGAAGAAGTTGATTGATTTTGTTAGAGAGACAATAATGGTTATGTTTGCAAGACTTGACATATAATGGTTATGTTTCAACAATGGTTATGGTACTGTGAAAGTTGTCCTGTTCCGTCCTTCACTACCGACTTGAAAAATTAAGATAGGTTACAGTCAATGGTCTCAAAATTGCAAGCAATACCATTTATAGTATGTAATTTTTTATATGATTTGATTTTTTTAGTGAATTATGTGAACATAGAATCATTTCACCTTATTGGTTGAGCTCAATTTTAGTTTCATGCAATGTGAAGTGCCACCATCTCTGCATCTTAGTTTACTAATTGCTAAATTCAATGGGATTCATGTTTATGTGGTGTTGCATCTAGGTTTACAAGTTTCTAATTTCATTGGAATTCATACTTATCTAGTGATGTTGCTCATACGTTACATCTTAGACTTTTTACTAAGTATTGTTTTTGTGTCCTTGTTGCATGATTCTCTGCATCATTCATGAGATCTTCTATTGTCATTAATGTTTATATACTTTTGTTTGTTACTTTTCCTTTTATAGAATGAGTATGAAAGACGGTTATCTGAAAAAGAGTCACAACAATCATCAGGAGATGTTGCCTCTAGTGTGTAATATGAAAATAGTATTTTCTATGATGTTATTGGTGGTGTGAACAAAAAAGGAAGAATATTTGGTTTAGGTTCAGAGGCTGAGAAGTATAAACCTTTTTCTTCTAGATTCTCATATGGTATCTCAAATTCTGAGTATGAACAAATGAAAAATCTTGTTTCAAATTTGTCTGAAGAAAACAAAACATTGAAAGAACAATTGCAAAGCCATGCAAATTTGATTCGTGCTTCACAAGAAGAGTCTCGGTTGGTTTGTGAACATTTGAAACAATTTATGGAGACATTTTCTCTTGGGCTGGCTTCTCAATCTTCTCGTCCTCCCCAACCTCCTCCTACACATGATGCAAACACTATACAATTTGATGTTAATGAGTTAGATGATGATCATGATATAGATGTTTAGTGATGCATTATCTTTTACTATTATTAATATTTACTATGCTTTAAACTTATACTTTGTTATGTTTAAGTTTTACAATAGTAATTATCATACATTAAGGATCATCTAAAGTCCTCAACTTTGTTATACTTTGTTATGTTTAAGTTTTTTCTTAATTATTTATTTTGTTAATTTTTTAAACAAATAGACAATTAATAAATTCAGCTTTTTGGATTAATTAATAATTTATTTGTTATATTCATAATTAAAAAATTATATCACTATTAGAGGAGAAAAACATATTCTTCACAAATAGTTACGAGAAAAGGCCTTCACTAAATAAGATCAATAGTTCACAATTTGTGACGGATTTTATTCATTGCAATGTGTGATGGATTTTATTCATCACAATTTGTGACGGACACACATCCCTCTCAACTTGTGACGTTAATAAGAAACACATATCCCTCTCAAATTTGTGACGGAGTTAATCCCTCACAAATTATTTATTAGTGACGTAAACAAGTCCCTCACAAATTGTGACAAACTTAGAGGTCATCACAAATTACAACGAAATTTTATTAATTTATGAACATTTATTATTATAAATTAGTAACGAAAAATAATTATTTGTGATGCCTTCATTCCATCACTGATTGTGACGGACTAAAATTATCCCTCACTAAATATTTTGTGACGCTAATTTTTGTGACAAAATCAGTTCTGTCACAAATTCCGTTTCTAATTTGTTTTGTGATGGCTTTTATAAAATTTAGTGATAGATTCATTCCCTCTCTAATTTTAATTTTTCTAGTAGTGATATTCTTAACCAAATTAACTATCAATTATTTTTTAAAAAGTATAATTTAGTTAAAATGATCTTATAATTAGTAACAAAGATAGTATATACAAATGAAATTGATGGGTTTACTAAGTGGTTAGACACTTTTTCATTACGTTTTTGGGTTTCCATTTTATATGAATATTTTTCTCTTTATTTAAATAATTTTTTTATTCATTGCACTAGAGAGTTTTTAGGAGGTTTTTTTTTCCGATGAGAAGACTTTTAAAGATTCATTTTAACTTCATATCTAATTCAATTTTTATTTATCATAATTATTTATGAAGTATATTTTAATAATTTTAAAAATAAATTATCAATAAATAAAATTAATCTTATGCTACAATATAAATTATTTATCATAAATTTAAGATATAATTTATATATTTAAAATATCTACTTATTCAAATTTTAAACATGGGTTTAAATATAATTTTTGTCCCTGTAATTTATCTTTATTTCAGTTATAATCCTTAAAAAAAATTCGTTGTTGTTTCATCCTTACCTTGTATAATGTTTCAAAATTAGTCTTTATCGTCAACTTCTATTAAAAACAATCCTATGTGACAAACAAAATACATATTATAATTGTTATATTCTACTTCATCATTGCAACATAGATAAATTGATTTTAATTTTTTTTAGACAAAACTTCAAAATGTACTTTATTGTAGCCACTTCATCACATTCTTCATGTTTACCCTCTTCGGATTATGAAACGTCGCATCTTGGTTATCATCGGTGGCGAAGCTGGACTACTAATCTCCCGTTTCTAATGAGATGTCCCCTTCATCGTTGTTGGGACACTCATGATAGGTGACGACAATTTTGATGGTCTCGAGCCAATCCACACAACTATTCTTGCTTGGCCTTGGAGAAGGAGGCAACATTAGCAGTAACACCAACAAAGTGGTGGACACTCTTATGACACGAACTCCTACATAATGAGGAAGTAGTTGGATGTCAGGTTGAACTCCTCCATGGTGAAGTGGCGACCTTAGAGAGGAGGTGGTTGTTAAGGATAAACTTGGCACTGCTGAGGAGATCGTAGATTGTGTGAGAAGCTACTCTTCATTAAAGGAATTCAAGTTTGAATTGAGAGGTTTAGAGTTTGCAATGTCATATTTGGATCAAAGAGAGGAAGTGCGATATTGAGGGTGAGGGTGAGGGTAAGGATTTGGGAATAATGGAGTGCATTTTAAAATTTTTTCTAAAAGAATTTAAAATTAATTTACCTATGTGACAATGATGAAGTGGAATATATCGATTATAATATTATTCTATTTGACACATAGGATTTTTTTTAATGATAGTTGACGGTAAAGATTATTTTTGAAGTGCTATAAAAGATTAGGGATGAAATGACAACAACAACAATAACAAAAAAAATTTATAAAGACTAAAAGTTAAAATGCGGTAAATTATAGGGATAAAAATTATATTTAAATCTTAAATATAATTTATATATTCAAACATATTATTTATTTTTACATAATTTATTTAAAATTTTAATTATATATAATAAATATTTAACATATGCATTCCACATGCTAAAATAATAGTTTTTTACTTTAAAATTAGGAGTAACAATGAATCAAAACAACTTGAAAATAATTAAAATCTCGATTCGATAATTAACTCGTTGAACATAATGAGCCAAACTTAAGCAAAGGATTGAGTTCAATAAATAAATAAGTTGAACTTGAGTTGTGTATAATTTTGGTCATTTAGTTCATGAATTGACTCGCATATTAATATATAATTTATATAATTAACTTTCTATTTATATTTATCTTATTAAAATTTTAAATATTTTTCAAAAGTTAGTTGAGTTAATAATAACAAAAAAGTGAGCACTTTAGAATTTC